TACTGTGGCTAATATGATTGTAAGGATCTCACGAAACTGTAACCATCCAGGCCCGATATGCTGTGCGGTTCTTTCGCTAGCCCAAGAACTTGAGAAACTCGCGTACCCTGCAAAGTTTGTCGTCTCTGTTCTGCAGTGGATGCAGCGGCGGGATCTAAAGCCGCTGTGGGGGAGTTTGAAAAACCTGGTAGAAATGCTTTATGACAACCGAGCGTCAAACTCGTTTTCATCTGTTTGAAGCGACCACCTTGCTTCGAAGCATCCAAGGGATGAGGTAAGGACGTTTGTTTGTTTCATGGCAGATAATTTTCTGGGACCAGGCCTCTGATTGCCCTGGCAAATTAGTTGGACTTTTTTCAGTCATCAGCTGGCGTGTCACCCGAACGTTTTCTGGAATGCGTCGAGTTGTTTTTTCCCCCTCTTCTCTGATTGAGTTGTGCAGGTGTTGGTACGTCAGATCTGAGCACTCTTTGTGGGAACATGGAACTCAGTTTTGAGTGGCACTAGGTACACGTACGAGTGGCCACTTGGTGTGTTTTTTTACCATAGTAAAGGACAATAAGTTAGTATAAAGTTAAGTAGCAAAGTAGTAAGCAGTGCCTGAACCCGAGTGGCGTAACGAGTGGAAGGGTTGAGTTTTCTCAGTTGGTGTGATGCTGAGGATGGCGGTGAAGGAGATGACGGCGCCATGATACTAAAGCTCGTGTTGTCTTCTTCATAATTAATTTTTCATTATTCGTAATCCTTTTCTCATGGTCTATAGCCCTAGTCTCGACCCTGCCGTGGCCTGGTTACGAGACTACAGTGCCGTTTTCACTTCGGTGATTTCGTGCTTTGTTTTCATGCTCTGATTTCGTGCTTTCGCGCTTGGTTTTGCGCTTCGATTTCGCGTTTTGTTTTATTTTATTTCGCTTGAAGTTTGTGTCAAGCTCGATGAGTTTGAGAAATCTTTTGATCAGTTCCGTTGTTCTGTGAAGATATTTACCGTATTTTTCTCGGGCGTTGTGCTTTGATGTACGAACGTGTTATCTCGCTCGTTTGTTTCCAATGGTTTTCAACCTCATAGTTCGTGATATTATGCCGTTTTATTTCTATTTCTTCTTCTTATTATTTCTTCTTTCATTTTCTCCTTTTCAAATTTACTATCGCATAGCATCTCTCGCGCAAGGATGCCTGCCATGTCCCTGTAGTTTTGCTTTTGACGGAGTGAGTCTGCTAAGCTAAGACAGCAACTGGTATGGTCGTGAAATCATCAACGACGCTTGCAACCATCATCTCGGAAGAAACATTCAGTTACAGGGAGCTGTTTGTTGGATTCTGTTCGGGTTGCAGTTTTGCGGCCGTCATCCTTCTCAGTCGAACGTACGGGAGGGGCCATGGTAAGAAGCCTGGCCGACGGGGCAAGTGGTCCAGCGACAACCGTTACTGGATGGAGGGTATTGGGAGTAGTGGATACGGACAAAACCAGTCGACGGGAAACGGTGTAACACCATTCCCGGAGGAAATCCGCCTCTGCCAGGTATTGTACCGATCCAACCATATCAGTATCCCGGAGGGCAGGCTCCCGCAACGCCACAACCAGGAGCGTCAATGCATTTTCCGAATGCACAATGGGGCGTGCAACCGTGGCAGTGGCCGACGCACGCTCCGTGGGTTGCGACGCACCCCATGGCAGCAACAGCTATACCACCCGTTATAGCGCCGACAATTCCTCCAACTATCTCTCCTCTACCCCCTCCTCCTCCCCCTCCTCCTCCACCACCTCCTCTGTATTCGCACCATGGCAATCAACAGGTGCAACCTCGACACGGTGGGAACTCGTCAGGAAGTGAGAAAGGCCAATCCGCGAACGCCTTCCCTGGACCAGGGAACCGGGCGTACTTTACGGAAGAGTATATGGATATTCTAGAGGGGATTAAGATGAATAAGGCATTGGAGGAGACTAAGAAGAAGATCGGCATTTCCCGGAGAAGCGGCGTGAAGATTGTCGAACTCCCTGAAAAAAACAGTCGGGCCGAGTCACGTCCGATTGACAAGACGAAAGAAATGAAGGCTTGGGTTACGAGCACGCTCGGTGACTCGTTGAAGCTTATTACCGAGAAACTGGAGGCGGTAGATGTGAAGACAAAGATGACCACGACGGAGAAAGAAGAGCTCGAGCGACTCCGTAGAGAGAAACCTGGAGAAAGAGAGAGTAAAGAGAGCAAAGATACTTCCAGCAGCGAGAAGAGGAAGAGGATCGGCGCTCGTACCCCTCTTGATAACTCACCTTCTGCTGCACGCGCCAAGACTCGCTCTCGCGGAAGTCTGAAGTCACGTCCAAAGCGAATTGATATCTCCTCTGATGACGAAGGTGCCGACGGCGTGAAGCAGAACCTTCAAGTCAAACTCGAAAACAACAACGAGTTGTCCGATATTAAATGGATGCTTGCGGCTCTGATGCAGGGGCTTGGTGACGCGAAGGGGAAGGCACAAGTGATTGAACCCTCTGGCGATAAACATGGCACCATGGAGGACGACAGGGAAGATATTGACATCGCGCAGAACGCGCCCAATGCCGACGAAGAGGAAGAGGAAGACGAAGGCCGACTTGCCGCCTACAAGAAGATCCGGATGGACTATTACAGTTCCTTGCACTATACCCGCGTGCAGGCACTGTGTAAGGAGAAGAGCATCCAGTATTTCCGTAAGGAAATGGGTGCCTGGGAACTAGCCAGACGCGACCTGCAGGAATACGCCGACCTTCTGAAGGACAGGAAGGGCGCGAAGGAGGGTGAATCGTCGAGGAAGTCTGTTGACATCGAAGATGATTCCGATAAGCTGTCATATCTGCACCCCGTCAGGAAAAACTAGGTTGCAACAGTCTGAGGTCCTTATCGCGAGCCACGAAAGGTATTATTGATTAGAAGGGCCGAGTAGACAGCTCACTGCGTGTCTTGCTCGACCGTGTCCATGCTCTGTTAATAGTCCTTGCCTACTTGAAAGACTTTATTAGTTGGGGGAAACCGTTCGTGTCCCTGTGGTTGCGCATGAACACTGACAAATGGGAAAGACTTTTTAGTGCGAATTGTTGCGTATATGTTCTAATGTCTCTAAACCATAAGCTCACTTACGTGGGTAAGACTGTGTGGTCCCTTAGAGACCGATGGGCTGAGCACTGCAGATCCGCCCGGGGAGAGAGCAAGCAAAATATTCACTCCTGGTTGCAGAAAGTGGGGTGGGAACACTATATATCCATTCCGATCTGGTTCGGCGAGGAATGTTCGATTGAGATTTTGGAACAAACTCTGATTAAAAGTATCAACCCTGGCTAAACGCACGTGAAAGTAAAAAACGGAATTGCAAGCGGATACCCCGCGACAGATGGAACAGAAGAAAGAAGTTGGGATTGGCTCCGACTGCAGTTTCAGAACCATTGTTGTTTGCATGCTCAGAGTTGGACATTAACGGCGAACCCGATTTACTCTGTATCTTAAAACTTCTGGAAAAAAGAAAGAAGCGTCGTATGATCAGCGTGACTAACAACACTGGATGCAGATGGCTGAAAGTATGGCGTCTGATTGTGTTGCTTTTTGGGTTGTCTAAGGTAAGATGTCAGGGCCATAACCTTCTACTTAAAGATGCTAAACAAGCAATTAAAGAAGGAGGAGAAGAACAGATCACTGAGCTTTTCCAGACAAAAAACAAGAATGAACTAAGGAAAGGAGAACTGATAGCCTTACTGAGGGCCCCCTGAAAACGGAGGGATCTGTACAAATGCGGGCTGGATGAGTTGATTGAGCTCAATAATGTTGTTAAAAGTATTAATCAGGAACGTGGACGGTAGATCATTCGTGGCATCTTAACTAATGTGTTCAAAAAGAAATTTGGTTTGAACCCTCGTGCGAATGGAGTTATTAAGATTCCTTTTTGTATGACAATTAACAAAGCGTGTGTTGTATCAAAGTGAAAAGATGGATTGTGGGAAACGTGCTGCCTACCTCACTAGTTGACTTGTATTCTAAGAGGACCAGAGCCGTGTGGCTGAGAGCCAAATCGGTTGGTGATCTTTTGCATAACCAAAAGGCCTACGCACAGAGTCGCAGTCTGGATTGCACCTGTGCGGACCTCGACTTACCCCGCAGAGACGGGCAAGTCGCAGTTAAGCTTAGCGAGGTGGACGGTATACACCCGTTCGTGTTTAATTCAAAAAATGTGTCGTTTCCTGGCACTCTTGCTGTAAAAGATGAACTTAATAAAGCATGCAATGATGCACTTGGCTGTCTGTACAAGATGGATCTGATCAGGACGCAATTTTGAATCAACACTACTAAAGTAAATAAGAAAGGCCAGCCTAAGCCAGTTGGTTGTGTCTTGAACGAATATGTCACGGGGGTTTAAACATGCTTTCTCGAGGCTCGTCATGTCTCCCTTGGATCGGAACCCAAGCGAAACATGGATCGAATGCCCAAAAAGGTATGGGGACGGGTCAAAAAAGATGTTCCTTGAAAACGAGAATTACGAAGTGGTTAACAAAGGAAAAAGTGAAGTTCGGTTGGAAATCCAAAATGCATATACATTTGATGGTCTATAGGATGCTGCCAACTGGGACACGCACGGAGTTTTGCAACACTCGTACATTATGACGAAAAAAAAGGATAAAAATAAAAAAAAGGAGGCCAATAGTCCCTTCCTATCAGAGCCCTTTTCGCTCCACTTCTAGCGTGCTGTCCCTTGGTCTGAATGAACTTATAAAACGGGTCCATGTCCCGCATTTTAACTTTAGAAGCTTGTGCGATCTGAGCAAAGAAATTGGAAAGGTGAATCTGCGGTGTGAAAAATTAGAAGACCTTAAGGTCGTAGCCCGTACTTACGACATTAAAGAAATGTTCACACAACTGCCTCACGATGAGATTCGCCTTGCTGTTGAATGGATCGTCAGCCTGTTTGCGGAGAAAGGAATACGGTGACTCATATTTAATACTCGGAAGAAACTGGTGACTTTTGAAAAAGCACATGGGGAAACCGGTTGGAAATCCTTGCGCCTAAACAAATTGATCAATTTAACTAATTTCCAACTCAAGAATACCTTTTTTCTTGTTGCTGACAGTATTCTGCGACAGAAGAAAGGCATCCCGATGGGGGGTCGGGCAAGTCCACCGCTTGCCTGTATTATGTGCATGTGTGCCGAGTCTAAGTTTATTCGGTCCCTCGGGACTGATGCAAGGTTTATATATGGGAAACGGTACATTGACGATCTCCTCCTCTTCGAAGATGGTGAAAGGAACGCTGAAGTACGACTGGATCGGATTTCCGGGTGTTACCCAGTCGAGTTAAGCTTGGAATGAACTGACCCCGAAAATGGGGTTTCAGATTTCTTGGAAACCAGAATCGTGGTTACAGACCGTTCCCCGACAGTCCTCTTCTCTCAAAAATTCAAGAACGCTGGAGCCATATGGTCCCCGCAAACGCTACGCCTCCGTACCTACAAGGATTGTTCGTCTTTTTACCCGAAAACAACAAAATTTGTTACTGTGGCTAATACGATTGTAAGGATCTCACGGAACTGTAACCATCCAGGCCCGATATGCTGTGCGGTTCTTTCGCTAGCCCCAGAACTTGAGAAACTCGCGTACCCTGCAAAGTTTGTCGTCTCTGTTCTGCAGTGGATGCAGCGGCGGGATCTAAAGCTGCTGTGGGGGAGTTTAAAAAACCTGGTAGAAATGCTTTATGACAACCGAGCGTTGAACTCGTTTTCATCTGTTTGAAGCGACCACCTTGCTTCGAAGCATCCAAGGGATAAGGTAAGGACGTTTGTCTGTTTCATGGCAGGGGACCAGGCCTCCGATTGCCCTGGCAAATTAGTTGGACTTTTTTCAGTCATCAGATGGCGTGTCACCCGGACATTTTCTGGAATGCGTTGAGTTGTTTCTTCCCCCTCTTCTCTGATTGAGTTTTGCAGGTCTTGGTACGTCAGATCGGAGTACTCTTTGTGGGAACATGAAGCTCGGTTTTGAGTGGCACTAGGTACACGTACGAGTGGCCACTTTGTGTGCTTTTTTACCATAGTAAAGGACAATAAGTTAGTATAAAGTGAAGTAGCAAAGTAGTAAGCAGTGCCTCAATCTGAGTGGTGTAACGAGTGGAAGGGTTGAGTTTTCTCAGCTGGTGTGATGTTGAGGATGGCGGTGAAGGAGATGACAGCGCCATGATACTAAAGCTCATGTTGTCTTCTTCATAATTAATTTTCCATTATTCATAATCTTTTTCTCAATCATCTGTCCTCCTTCGGATCAGTGTGATGCCGGAACCGAACGCGATACTGCAACTTCGGTTTTGGAGGACGTCCCCGACCTGCTGGTCTTGATACCGGCAGTTCCCTGTGATCCACGATATCATCGATGTCCGCCTCTCCATCCATGGTTGGGGGCAGCATTGAGCGACGAGATGAAAATTGATCAGTCTTTTTGAAAGGTGCCAGTTTGGAGGCGTGGAAGACAGTGTAAGTACGGAGATGACCAGGTATTCGGATAACATAGGATGTCCCATCCGGATCCGTCCCAACGATATCCAAGACTTCCCAGGGTCCAAAGTACTGGGGCATGAGTTTGCGGGAGATCCCGTGCCCCTGTCCCAGTTCTGACGCCTTAACCCAGACCCTATCCCCAACCTGAAATGTAGAAGGCCGACGGTGTCGATTTTCAGACTCTATCATTGCAGCCTGCGCCTTCTGCATTTGTTCTACAACCTGCTGCATCTTCTGTTCATAGCGGTAAGTAAATTCCAGGGTACCTGGTGCAGCAGTGGTTTGATTCTCAGGAAGAAGAAAGTCTAGGGGTAATCTAGGCTTGAATGTTAGTAGTAAGCTGTTTGGGCTCACCCCGGTGGCGCTGTGTACAACGTTGTTGTACAAGTTGGCAATGAGAGCAGACTTCTCATTCGAGTCCACCTGATTGGGCTTGATGTAATGCCTCAATAGGTGTTGCACAGCGCGGTTCAGTTGCTCAGCCTGACCGTTGGCCTCTGGGTGATTCCCAGAAGTCATCTGTAACTGAGTTCCCTGTTCTGCAACAGCAGCCTTCCACAACTCACTGGTGAACTGGACATCTCTATCACTAACAATGGACTTCGGTAGACCAAAGTCCTTGACCCAGTTCTCTTTGAACATTCTAATCACGTACTCCGTCTTTGCTGTTTCCGGCATGGCTATTAACCTAGCATACTTACTAAATCTATCCACGATGACGAAGATGTGATGCATTCCACTCTTGTTGGTGATCAGAGTATCCATGAAATCCATGGACATATGCTCACCAGGCCGTTCCGGAATCGGAAGGGGCTTCAGAAGCCCAAGAGGAACCTGAGTACGTGGCTTGTCTCGTTGGCAAACTTGACAAGTCTCCACGTACAGCTGAGCATCTCGCATCATCGTGGGCCACGAGAACCGATGCAGCAAGTTGGCTGCGGTCTTCTTATACCGAAAATTGACGGTGGCATCATGACACTCGCCTAAATACAAACTACGCAAAGACTCGCTATTTGGAACACACAGACGTTTATTCCCTGGCTTCTCTAGGAACAGCAAGCCATTGACCAACTCAAACTCAGCGGAGGTCTTTTTGTCCTTCGCCTCAAGTCTGCGTATGATCTCAGACGTAAACTGGTCCTTGCGATAGGCTTCCACCAAAGACTGAGTAACATTGTCCATCAGATCAAACTCAGTAATCAGCGCACCTGAGAAGTCTGGTCTGCGCGACAAGGCATCAACAACCTTGTTGTACTCCCCTTTGAGATACGGAGGGTCAAAGTCATATTGATCAATGACTTCAATCCAACGCTTGAGAGCGTCAGAGAGTACCGACTGGGTTCTCATCCATCTCAGGGTCTGATGATCAATCCTTAGGATGAAGAACCTCCCAAGGAGATAGTGTCTCCAATGGGTGAGAGCCTTGTACACCGCGTAGAGTTCCTTCTCATAAGTGGACTTAGCCAACTTCTGAGACGACATTTTCTTGGACATGTACTCTACTGGCCTTAACTTTGGCCCCTCTTGTTGTGCGAGAACGGCACCAATGCCGTATTGGCTGGCATCCGTGATGACTATAAACGGCTTGTCAGGATCAGGAAGTTTCAAGACTTCATAGTACGTCAACGCATGCTTCAAATGTCTGAAAGCAGCCTCGCACTTATCTGTTCACTCCCATGGGGTGTCAAGCCGGGCCAGATCAGTCAAAGGAGCGGCCACTATGCTATAGTTCTTAATGAAAGTCCTATAGTAGCCTGTCATTCCTAAGAAAGATCTCATCTCAGTTACAGACTGAGGACATGGCCAATCGCGAATGCTGGCCACCTTCGCGTCATCGGGCTTCAACCCTTCCGCGAAGATCTCATGACCCAAGTACAAGACACGGGTGCGGCCAAACTCGCACTTCTCACCGTTGATCTTGAACTTGTGTTGTCGCAGAAAAGTGAGGACTTTGTCCAAATGTGCAACGTTGTCGCGCGCGGCGGTCCCGCACCCTACCAAGAACGCAAAACCTCACGGTCGTGTCACGCAGGATTGATTTCTTGAAAAAGAACCAGTCACCACTCCGACCGTGCGCGCGTGCTATACCTCTCACGACGCCCTGCGACAGGTCGGGACGTTGCGAGGTACAACTTACCTCTACCCGAGGGGTTGTCATCACCCTTAGGTAGGCGTATCCCTGTTGAGCTACCAGCCCACATGCAACGGCTTTTACATGCCTTTGTAGAGGTAGGTCGGCCGAGGACGTTTGCTCGATCGCTGTAGCATAAAACGGGGTACACACGGTAAGACGCCTAAAACTGACCCGTTAGATATTCAGGTCGAACTTTTAATAATGCTGTCTACTTCCGCTACTGCGTAATGTACTATTGTTCTTGACAAATATCAATCAACCTGTTTTTCTACCAAAGAGCGTCCTATCTTTCTTAAGAGGTTAGGACTTAACTGAACATCAGGATAATATGGAAGTTAAATTGGACATATAATGAATATAGAAGTATTACCGCCGATAACCCTTCCCATTTTCACTAGTGTCGTATGTCCGAGACTCTTCAACAAACCAGGTCCAGTTCAATCCAAATCACGCACAAATCAGACCTGCACAGAATAATGCAAGGACGGTTCACATGCCATGCACTAACGACGTCAACCATCAACCATTGACCTTTTCCTTCACTTCCCAAACTATGTATGACAGCCTTGTCTTTCCTGAGACGTAAGCCCAGCCCCCTCACATTTCTTCAAAGGACCCTTGAGAGTGACCAAGACCGTTTAGGCAATAACCGCAGGTGACAGTTTTACTGACCACAGGGTTTGACTTTAGAGGTGCGTATCAAGTTAAAGGGGAAAGTTGAATCGGTAACAACCGACTTGTTATCGAGTGATAACAAAAAATTGAGTCCTTTATGTATGACTTCTCCTTCAATTGCAGTAGACCTAACAAAGACCTCCACACACACAGGTCAACAATGATTCAACATCCCCGTTTGATTCCCACATAATGATATCTAAAAACCCTTAGATCCGGTTTGTGAACCCTGGGATCAACATCCCAAAGTCTAACCCATAGCTTCTATTTACCCTGAGCCGTCTGTCACACCTCCTCCTTTTATTTTAAGGAGTTTCTTGCCTATGTCCTAAGTCGCCTCAGGGAAATTCACGTTTCCTTACTCTCAGTACTTACACTCTCTCTTTCGTGGATAAGCACACCCTTTTGTGCTTACGCGGTAATCTAACTGAGATCTACTCATGCCGTTCGGTGGTTTCTCCCTTAGGAGCCTACCAATAAACTAAAGCTACGCGGAACTCCTTTTCGTCTAATTCTTTTCTCTGCGGCATTCGCTTTCTTTTATGTTTCTTTCTAAAGAACCTTTGGGGTCGTTCCCGATGGAGCATTCCCTTTTTCCTTTTCTCTTCTTTTTGTCCTGACATGCGCAAGTAGTAGCCCGATTCACCCGGGAATCTTCCACTACTTGATCAATCCCAAATATTCCGTTAGCCAGAAGAGTAGTCGAGTCGCCCCATGGGAGCACCGGATTAATGGTCGTTGTTAAGCTGAAGAAGCGTACCCCACGGGTGTACCGGATCAAATGACTCTTGTTAAACTGAAAGATGTACTTCACGGAAGTACCGGTCAAACTGGCTTTTGTTAAGTTTGAAGAAGTGTACTTCTCGGAAGTACCGGATCAAATGACTCTTGTTAAACTAATATATGTATTTCACGGAAGTACCGGTAAAACTGGCTTCTATTAAGTTTGAAGAAGCGTACTTATCGGAAGTACCGGATCAAAATGACTTTTGTTAAACTAATAGATGTACTTCACGGAAGTACCGGCCTTTGTTTTCTCAAGACCATGCAGGCTATGTTCCTTCTTGGTTCTTTCCTAGGTTCCTTTTCGGACATCAGGCACGTTCTGATTTCAATCATATAGCCCTTTTGCTTTTCGTGCTTTAGTCCCGAAGAAAGCCATAAACAGTATATCATACAATCATACAAGCAGTTTGATAGAAGGGCGTAACTTGTAAGGGTATACGGGAAAGGGTTAGGTGACGCGTACCTCATAGTTCCCTGCCTCCAGTGTTCCTCTCGAACTCCAGCAGAGCTCCCGCAATTGCCCTGTCATTGATCTCGTATCATACATGCAATGGGATGTCTGGACTTTTACAGGAACATATCATTAGACAAGTTATAATATTGAAGAGAATGGTTCATGAGATGTTCAAACAGGGAAAAGAATGGAGGAGGATGGAGGAGGTAGGCGCCACCACACAGTGATAATGTCTCTCTCCTCTCCAAAGCCCCACACTCTTCCCCTTCCTGACCCCTGCTTATCTCAGGATATTTTAATAGTGAAACAACAATCAATAATGCTAATAATAACAGTAATAGTAATAATAATAACAATAATAATATCATTACCACTACTAGTAGTATCAGAAGGTAAGTGTGTCAGACTGCGGATTACGCCATCACACTGAAAGCCAAAAGGTCTGACACTGTTTGGAATAGTAGTAATACACCGCTATCATACCAACGGAGAATCAGATCATCGTATCAGATTCTCAAATGAAGATGTTAACTATTGCCAACACCAGGTACATATCCTTACATCATCAACCTCATCCCTCTCTCTCTCACTCACGTACATACTTACACGCAAACATGGGTCGAGAGATCACACGAAATTCACACTCGAGACCAAAGATGCAAAGTTCAGGTACGTGCAGTTCCAATCAAAATGTTGTTTTAAACAGTTCCGGGGATCCAGTCACTAACGCTTGACTGTGTAGAACACCGCAACCCAATACTAGCACCCTCACCAAAGGTAGGCGGTTCTCTCTCTCTACCATAGTCTTTCTGATGCACGCGTTGTTTCTCTCTCTTTGGCCGTCTGCGTGACTACGCCTGTCCGTTTGTTTGTCTGTCCTTATCTGTGTGTGTCTGTCTGTGTCTGTCCGTGTCTGTCTGAGACAGTCTGTGTCTATCTGAGAATGCTTGGGTCTATCTGAGACCGTCTGAGTCTACCCCTTGTATTGTTTGTTAGTCCGTCACAGGCTAGTGTGAGTGTCGGTTCTCGAACTGTAGGTCCGTCCTGTGAGAACCAAGGTTGCAGCTGCTACGGAGCTGACGGCCAAATCCACAGGCTTCCGGCAGGTCCGGAAGCGGCCCTTCAACTGTCGCTTATAGCAGACTAGAGGCAAGTGGGCTGCGGTACGTCCACCCCTGCTGAGTCAGTGGTACCCAGTCCCAGTCTCACTCAGTCCAGTCAGCGAGTACCGTATGAGACTGTGTGTACCGGCCCCACTCATTCAGAGTCCAGTCCAGCAAGTACTGCATGGAACTGTGTGTACCCAGGCCCAATGGAAAGGGGCAGGCAGGGGCGGACATGGCCGCCATAGCTTAGTAGTAAGATGGCGCAATGCGTGTGTGTGTTCGTGCACAACGAGTACCGAGTTGGATATCCATGGTGAGCAACTGTATGCGAACAAAGAGTTGCACGGACGCTGAGTTACCACGACCATTGAAAGTAGACTCGTTTTTGGGTTGCCTGATTGCCTGCTAGAATGTCTGTGTCCGTCCGCTCCCCTGTCTGTATCTGTTACATGCTAAGTTTGGGCGATGTACATGAAAACTGAGAATCCGCAATGTGATAAAGAAGGTTGAATGGACAATGCTGTGCAAGTAGAATCTCAACAAGCAATGTGCATTTTGATACATATAAAATGGTGTTGACTGACTCAGATACAAGGCCTGATCTGACCAGGACTGACCTTATTCACATAGTACGCGACAACGAAGCCGAATGCTAGAATGCAAATGACTAGCCCAAACAATGATTGAACGCGGACCAAACGTACATTATATCCATCATCAGGCGTGAGGGAACATGGCGCAGTACACAGGGGGAAAATGCCAGGTCCAGACATACTCAGGCGAAGAGGAGGGAATCAGACGAAAAAGAGGGAGAGAGACGGGGATGTTGTTAGCACCAGGTCTTCGTCATAAGTCCCAAATAATCCTTCGTTGCTATGTCTGAAGTCCAAAGGTTAAGTCTGAATTCGTGTCACCACGCTCTTCTCCTCTCCTCTCGTAGCCCGTAGATGTAGTGAGGTAGGATGGTGGGCGAGGGGGAGAAGAAGACAGCGGACGGAGAAGAGTAAGAAGAAAAACTCTCTCTCTCTCCGCTTTTAGCCAGGCATTAATCTGGGATGTCGGCGTTTTGCTGCAGGTACCCCTGAAGACGAAGCTGGAGCAAACGGGGCTTCAGGTAAGTATCTCTCGCCTCCGCTCAATCCCCTCTCTCTCTCTCTTAAGTGCTATCCTACCTGCAGCGCCCAACGACGACCGTCCTCTTACAACAGACAGATCTTGCCCAACCAATCAGGCACGTTCCCATCACGGATTACTTTTTCTCTCCTTCCCTCTCTAATAATAATAACAATAATAGTAATAACAATAATAATAATAATAATAATAATAATAATAATAATAATAATAATAATAATAATAATAATAATAACAGTAAATAATAATAAATAGAATAATTATAAAATAATAATAATGATAATTCTAATAATAATAATAATAATAATAATAATAATAATAATAATAATAATAATAATAATAATAATAATAACGTGTAATCGATCTTCGGCAATCAAACAACATTATACATGCGGGACCAGGTAGTCCTGACCTCGAACTAACAGTAGAAACAACACCATGAGATTCACCCAATAAGAACACACCAAGACTTCATAATTGACAATGTTGGAATAGTCCCATCATCATCATCAATGAAGAACCAATGTTGATATCCTATCTGGCGCTCGGCGCCCAGACTACATGTGGCAGATTCTAACTAGCCTATTCTAAAGTATGGAATGATGACGACAACGGCTTTCCCGAAGTATGAGCATACAGCGACCAAGTCGCACGCTTCCACTGTCAGGTATGCCTCCCGCCTTACTCACAACCTCGTTCCCCAACAACACAGATGCCACATGCACCCAAGGACCCCCCGTGCATCTGACAATAATAATAATAATAATAATAATAATAATAATAATAATAATAATAATAATAATAATAATAATAATAATTATTAATAATAACAATGCCACATGCACCCAAGGACCACCCGTGCATCGGACAATAATAATAATAATAATAATAATAATAATAATAATAATAATAATAATTAATAATAACAATGATTAAGGAAAAAGGTATACAAGCCATCTCTCCGACCCGATGCACTATCGCCAGGGGTGCGCTGTA